TGTATGTGGTGTCCCATAAGGATAAAACCTCTTTCCTTTGCATATAGCTATCCAGTTGACCTAGCCAAATTTATGAAGAGAATATTCTTTTTTGTTCTGTTTTAGAGCGGGAGAGGCAGGGAGGAGGGGCAGAGGGAGGAGAGAGAGAATCTTAATCAGGCTCCATGCCCAGCATGGAGCCCAACATGAGGCCGATCTCATAACCCTGAGATCATGACGTGAGCCAAAATCAAGAGTCAGATGCTAAGTTGACTGAGCCACCAGGCACCCCTGAAAAGAATATTCTTGCCCTATTCTTGGCTTTTTTTCCCCTTAAAAATCAGTTGACTATAGATGTATGGGTTTACTTCTCAAATCTTTTTTTAAAAAAGATTTTATTAATTTATTTGAGAGAGAGAGAACATGGGGGGGGTGGAGAGGTAGAGGAGAGAGAGAAGCCCCACTGAGCAGGGAGGCTGATGTGGGGCTTGATCCCAGGACCCTGAGATCAGGAACTGAGCCAAAGGCAGACGCTTAACCAACTAAGCCACCCAGGCGCCCCTATTTTTCAAATCTTAATCTACCAGTAGTACCACTCTTTCTCTCTCTCTCTTTTAAAAGATTTTATTTACTTATTTTGACAGAGAGTGCACAAGCAGGGAGAACAGCAGGCAGAGGGAGAGGGAGAAGCAGGTTCCCCACCCAGGAGAGAGCCTGATGTGGGGCTCAATCCAAGGATCCCGGGATCATGACCTGAGCTGAAGGCAAACGTTTAACTGACTGTGCCACCCAGGTGCCCCAGTACCACACTCTTTTGATTACTACTGCATGTTGCAAAGTTGTGAAATCAGGAAATGTTAGTCCTACCACTTTGTTTTTCTTTTTCAAGAGTGCTTTGGATATTCTGGTTCCCTTGCAATTCCATATAATTTAAAAAACCATTTTGACAGTTTGTATAAGAGGAAGTAAGCTAAGATCATGATAGATACTGTGTTGAATCTCTAGATCATTTAGGGGCTGGTGCCACTTCAACAATTTTAAGTCTTTTGATCCATTTTCCCATTTATTTACACATTTATTAATTTCTTTCGCTCATGTTTTATAATTTTCTGAGTATTTTGTACATCTTTTGCTAAATTATCCCTAAGTATTTTATTCCTTTTGATTTCATTGTAAATGCATTTCTTAATTTCATTATCAGACTGTTCCCTTTTTTTTTTTTTAAGATTTTATTTATTTACTTGAGAGAGAGAGAGAGAGAGCAGGGTCAGAGGGAGAAGCAGACTCCCCGCTGAGCAGGGAGTCCGATGTGGGACTCGATCCCGGGACTCCAGGATCATGACATGAGCCGAAGGCAGTCGCTTAACCAACTGAGCCACCCAGGCGCCCAGACTGTTCCCTTTTTAAAAAAGATTTTATTTATTTGAGAGAAAGAGAGCAAGAGAGAGAGCACAAGCAGGGGGAGTGTCAGAGGAAGAGGGAGAAGCAGGCTCCCCAATGAGCAGGAGGGAGCTGACGTGGGCTCGATCCCACATGACCTAAGCTGAAGGCAGACGCTCAACTGACTGAGCCACCTAGGTGCTCCCAGACTATTCCTTACAAGTATATAAAAATACAATTGAGGGGCGCCTGGGTGGCTCAGTCAGTTAAGCGTCTGACTCTTGATTTCCACTCAGGTCATGATCTCAGGGTCGTTGGATTAAGTCCCGAGTCGGGCTCTGCACTGGGCATGGAGCCTGAATGGGATTCTCTCTCCCTCTGCCCCTCCCCCCTGCTCTCTCTCTCTCAAAAAAAAAATTTTTTTTTTTTATTTTTATATAATGATCTTGGATCCAACCAATTTGCTGAACTCGATTATCAGGGTTTTTTTAAAAAGATTTTATTTTTAAGTAATCTCTACACCCAATATGGGGCTTGAATTTATAACCCCAAGATCAAAAGTCCCATGCTCTACCAACTCAGCCAGCCAGGCACCCCTCAATTATCAGCTTTAAGAGGTTTTTTTTTTGTTGTTGTTAGTGGATTTTTTAGAGTTTTCTAGAAACAAGATACCTCAGTGGGGAGTAGGTATAGTTTTACATCCTAACCAACCTTAATGCATTTGTTTCTTTTTCCTGCATAATAGTTTTAGCTAAAATATCCAGTACATCTGGAATATAAATGGCAAGAGCAGATATCTTTGCTTTGTTCCTTACTTCAGGGGAATACATCCAGTCTTTCACAACTAAAAATAATATTAGTTTGGGTTTTCCATAGATGGTCTTAATGAGGTTAATTTCCTTTTATTCCTAGTATGCTGAGTGCTTTAATCATAAAAGCATATTGCATTTTGTCACTTATTTTCTCTGAGGTTACTGAGATCTTGCTATTTTGTTTTTTACTCTATCAATATCCTTCATTATTACATTAATGGACTTTGAGTTATTAACCCAAGCTTTCATCCCTGGAATGTATCCTACTTAGTCATGGTGTAGAATTTTATGTATTGCTGGATCAGGTTTGTGGGTTCACAAAATGAGTGTGAAGTATTCTCCCCATTCTCACTTGTTTCTACTTATACACTTCTGGTAGGAATGTAACCTCACGCTGCCGTTGTGGAAAATAGTATGGCAGGTGTTTGTTTGTTTGTTTTTTAATTTACAGAGTGTTATCATGTGATCCAGCAATTCCACTTCTGAGTATATACCCAGAAGAACTCAAAACATGGACTCAAATAGATATTTGTTCACTTGTGTTTGCAAGAGCATTATTTACAGTAGCCATAAGGTGGAAGCAACCCGGTGTCCATCAAAGATGAATGGATAAACAAAATATGGTATACACATACAGCAAAATATTACTCAGCTTTAAAAAGAAATGAAATTCTGGGCACCTGGGTGGCTCAGATGGTTAAGCATCTGCCTTCGGCTCAGGTCATGATCCCAGAGTCCTGGGATTGAGTCCCGCATTGGGCTCCCTGCTCCTTGGGAGCCTGCTTCTCCCTCTGCCTCTCTCTCTCTCTGTCTCTCATGAATAAATAAATAAAAATCTTTAAAAAAAAAAAGAAATGAAATTCTGATACATGCTACACCATGGGTGAACCTTGAGGACATTATGCTAAGTGAAACAAGCCAGTCACAAAAGGACAAAAACTGTATGATTCCATTTTTTGAGGTGCCTAGAGTAATCAAATTCATAGAGACAGAGAGAAGAATGGTGGTTCTCAGGGGTTAGGGGCACAGGGCAATAGGGATTTGTTGTTTAATATGTATAGAGTTTCAGTTTTGCAAGATGAAAACAGTTCTGGAGACTAGTTTCACAGTGTGTTCACACTACTGAACTCTATACTTAAAAATGGATAAGATTTTATAGAATGTGTATATTACCACCCTTAAAAGTAAAAAGTTTAAGAGAATGAACACACAACCCACAGAATGAAAGAAAATTTTGCAAATAATATAACTGAAAAGTACTTGTATCAAGAATATAGAGGGACACCTGGGTGGCTCAGTTCATTGAGCATCTACCTCTTGATTACAGCTCAGGTCATGGTCTCAGGGTCATGCGATTGAGCCCCATGTCAGGCTCTACACTCAGCACAGAGTCTGCTTGGGATTCTCTCTTTCCCTTTTCTTCTGCCCCCCTCATCACTTGCACACACTCTGGAAAACAGTATGGAGTTCCTCAAAAATTAAAAAGAGAACTACCCTACAATGCAGGAATCACACTACTGGGTATTTACCCAAAAATACAAAAACACTAATTCAAAGGAGTACATGCACCTCTATGTTTAAATGGCATTATTTACAATAGTGAAACTCTGGAAGAAGTCCAAGTGTCCATCAATAAACGAATTGATAAAGACGAAGTGGTATATATATAATGGACTATTACTCAGCCATAAAAAGGAATGAAATTTTGCCATTTGCAACAACATAGATGAAGCTAGAGAATATGATGCCAAGTGAAGTAAGTCAGTCAGAGAAAGACAAATACCATATTATTTCATTTATATGTGGAATTTAATAAACAAAACAAACAAGCAAAGGAAAAAAAGAGAGAAAGACAAACCAAGAAACAAACTCTTCAGTATTAAGAACAAATTGATGGTTACCAGAGGGAAGATGGGTAAGGGCATTGGGGAAATAGGGGATGGGGATAAAAGAGTACATTTATTATGATGAAAAAAATAACAAAGTAAAATGATTTAAAAAAATGCTCCCTCCAAAATTGTTCAAATAAGTGGAAAATGCATTAAGAGTTTTGCAATCCAAGGGGGGTGGAGGGGATGGGTTAGCCGGGTGATGGGTATTAAAGAGGGCACATTCCGCGTGGAGCACTGGCTGTTATACGCAAACAATGAATCATGGAACACTACATCAAAAACTAATGATGTATGGTGATTAACATAACATAATAAAATAAAATTTAAAAAAAGAGCTTTACAATCCAATCTCTTAAGCACATTAATACTTTCCAAGAACATCCCATATTTATATAACCTTTTCTTGTTTCTGGTTATATCAGTCCGAACAGTAATCAAATTACAGGTTTTATAACCTTTTATCTAGCACGGTTCTCTAAGGATACATTCAAACAGTGATCTGAAATAAATTTCCTTTCAGTGTAAAACGTATACCTGAGAATTTAGTCAATACATTTTACAACTTGTGGTTAGTTTTAGAAAAATCCCTGCACCCAGCTGGGACTGGGGTTCCAACTTTCCACCACAGCCAAATGCTTGGAAGGCAATAGGACACCCAACGCTGTCAATAGTCAAAGATCAAAATGGAACCAGGTGACTCTTAAAGGTCTGTATTTGTAAAGAAGCGTCGCAGTTCCACGAGTGGCTCCTCAGCATTACCCTCCAATGTAAAAATCCCTGGAGAGAACGAGTTTAATAAATTGGTGTTCCACAGACACCTCGCCTCTGGCCAGCTGTCACTCCCGAGGGAGGGAGGGTGGGTCTCGCAACCTGTCCAATCAGGGGAGACGTCAGGGCAGGTGGGTGGGGCGACGCTCCGCAGGCACTCAGCAGGAGGCTTCTGGCTCTCGCCATTGTTGGGATCGCGGCTTCCCTGCGCTTAAAACTTCCACCTCGCTCTGCCCGGGATTCTGTCTTGCTTAGACCTGTCCCTTCCCCGAAATCGTAGGTAGAACGTCGGGAGACCCAGGAAAGCTAGAAATGGTGAGTGTGCAGGCCCGGCCTCCCAGAGAGGGAGGCGGAGTGCTGGTTGGAACCGGCCGGAGATGGCCGTGGCGCGAGCTGGCCTCCCCGCGGACAACTCGGAGTCTCTGACTCGAGTCCGTCGGTGGCGCCGCTCCGACCTCAGTCCCCTCCGGCGCGCGGCGTGGGGGCTGGGCCGGCAGTCGGGACCCTGGCGTCCTGTCCGGTCCCTGCGCGCGGCAGCTTCGGCCCTCGAGTCCGTGGACAGCTCTGCGCCCGCAGCTCCGCGTCTCCCCAGATTGTGCGGTGACCCCCGGTGACAGGGGACGATCGTGACTGGCTCTCTGGAGTTCGTGCGCGGGAGGTGCCATGGTCTGCGGGGTCTCCATTCCCTCCTTTCTCTTACGAGGGGACCCATTTTCTCCTGAGTTTTCCAAAATTGTGGGAAACTAAGTGAAATCCACGATCCTGTCGCGGCACCCTCGCCCCCCTCCACCCCGCGCCCAGCTCTCCCTAGGACTGGCAGTCGTTGCGTAAATTTCCAGATCCCTCCTGGCCCACTTCCCATCTCCGTAGAGTTCACAGCGTCACTAGGAACTATTCGTCCTTCATGGTGCGTTTCAGACAGACCCAGTATTTCAATTATTTATCTTTTTTTTTTTTCCCCGCTGTCAATGGATGGCGTTTTTAAACGGGTTTAGTTTTTGTTCCTGGATATTTTACGGAAGAGAAAAGTAGCGAATAATCCTCTGGAACAACGTTGTATGAAATCCTTGTGCCCCTCCTCCCAGGATCTTTCCTGGGCACAGACATCCTATGGGAAGTCCTTTGGGTGGAGGTGCATCTTTGGAAACTTCTGGGTGATCTCTGCTGTCAGCACTGCCCCTGCCTCAGTTTGTCACCTTTAAACGATTTATTCAATTAACTTTAGTCCAAATTTTTCAATGAATAAAAATTTATTTAATCCACACATCGTGAAAAACAGTAAAATATTTCCAAAGAGTCAAGAAAGGGGTGAGTTCAGGAAAAAAAAAAAAATTCTAGTATTACCCTGCAGGTATTATTTTTTACTTTTTTCCTCCCTTGAGTGTGTTACTGATATTCTGAGGTCTGTTCGTTAATTGGGGATGAGTTCAGATGGATTTCCAAGGCTTAGACTTGCAGACCCCGTAGTGTTCAACTATGATTAGTAGTTTATAAGACAGTTTGTTCTCCTGTCAATAATTAACATCTTATTGTTTATTTATTTTTGTGAATGCAGTCCATACTTGTGAGGTTTCTTGTTGAGCCAGTAAAGTGCCTTACAATTTTTTTCCTTCCTTTTCACATAAACACTGGGTTTGAGTGGTTTGCTGGATTGTTCAAACATTGGGTTTATGTCATTTAAGGTATCACTGGTGGTGCAAAGCAATGTCAGTGGCAGGCAGAGGCCTCAGGATGTGTCTCTAAACTCTGGCCCCTTTGAGCCTTCAAGGGGAAGTATATAATGCCCAGTTTTTCTTCCTGGATAGGCTCCCCTACAGGTGTGTGCTCATTCCTCTGGCTGCTCAGGTGTCCGCATCATTCTTTCCATGTACTGACCCACTCCAGGGCTTCTATCTCCACCAGGAGTGTCTAGAAGGTAGGGCTTGAGCTCATGACCCCAAGATAGGGAGTCACATGCTCTACCCACTGAGCCAGCCAGATGCCCCTAGAATGTGGAACTTTCTTTTTTTTTAAAAAGATTTTATTTATTTGAGAGAGAGAGAAACAGCATGAGAGGGGAGAGGGTCAGAGGGAGAAGCAGGCTCCCTGCTGAGCCAGGAGCCCGATGCGGGACTCGATCCCAGGACTCCGGGATCATGACCTGAGCTGAAGGCAGTCATTCAACCAACTGAGCCACCCAGGCGCCTGCGAATGTGGAACTTTCTGAATGTGGCTTTCCTTCTGTCCTGTGGGAAGCAGGCTGCTCATACGTGCTGCTTCTAATATTTCTTTATTTTGGGTTCTGTTACTGAGCCCTTTGGCTCTAGTTTCTTTTATTTTTTTTTTTTAAGATTTTTATTTATTTATTGAGAGAGAGAGAGAGAATGGTAGAGAGAGAGCATGAGAGGGAAGAAGGTCAGAGGGAGAGGCAGACTCCCTGCTGAGGAGGGAGCCCGATGCGGGACTCAATCCCGGGACTCCAGGATCATGACCTGAGCCGAAGGCAGTCGCTTAACCAACTGAGCCACCCAGGCACCCTTCTAGTTTCTTTTAGTACTTGGGCTCTGAAATTGTGAGTTAATTGAGAGGTACAATGGGAGGAAAGCAAGAAAATTGTGGAACTAAGTAGAATTTGTGTTCTCTTTAGGCAGGAGAACCTCAAGACGTGAGAGGCACTCAATTAAGTTTTCTTAAGGTCATTTTTTATTTTTGGATCAATTAGCGCATGTCCATGCCCCTAGAGAATGCTGACATTCAACAGGCTAAAGCAATTGAATTCCTGTTTTAAGTGATATGAGGAAAACTGCCCAAAGCTTATGTAAATATATGAAAATCCAGTACATGTAAGGAGCTAAACTCAAACACCTAATGTAGGTAATAGGCTACTTATTCCTGGAAAATACCCTGCGTGTGATATAGGGGAGGAAAAAATGTGATGCCCCATGTCCTGCTAGTTAGACATTTGAAAATTTTCATAAATTATACAAGTGGTTTACACTTTTGGTGTGGTAAACACCAGATAGTGTTTAAAGGAATTATATCTTAAAATGGTTTCCTGTGTACAAAGTTAAAATGAAATCGATTGTTAATTACTTTAATGTACATAAATTTGTATATATATGTGTGTGTATATATGTGTGTGTGTGTATATATATATATGTACATATATATATATTTTAAAGATTTTATTTATTCCAGAGAGAGAGAGAGGGAAGGAGCAGAGGGAAAGAGACAAGCAGACTCCACGCTGAGCGCAGAGCCTGATGCGGGCTTAGATCCCAGGACCCTGAGATCAAACCTGAGCCAAAACCAAGAGTTGGACACTTAACTGACTGAGCCACCCAGGCACCCCAAATTTATATATATTTTTAAAATAAATTTGTAAGATAGGGAGTGTAACTTAAGAAAATCACCGTGAACACATCCTAGTTCCTTCCAGCACTGTTAAGCCCAGCTACCACCAAGTACACAGTTTTGATAATTTCTTGAGCCTCCTATTCCAACAAGCAATTGTGAGTGCATATTATTCCTGCTGATGTTTGTCCTTGTAACAAGCAGTCAGACTTTGCATTTTTGGATGTTTGAGTGCTGACAGATAAAGCCTCACCTCCCCCCCGCCCCCCACCCCTTGTGTTCCCAGCTAGATAAGCCGATGAGAAAGCCTGGGTGGTCTCTCCTCTAGAGCAGGCAGGAGATTCCAACCAGAAAAGCCCTTGCTTGTGTGCAGAACTCTTGCCCCTGCCCCACTCCCTAACCCCAATGAACTCCTTACCCAGCCAGTCTCTTCATTCTTTTGAAGCCATTTCAGAACTGCCTGAGAGGCAGCCTTGCTCTGAGACCTCTGTTATATGAGTCCTAAACCTTTTCCTACTGTCTAGGTGACTGTGTGTGTCATTGGGGGCTACAGAGCCATCCCCCTTGACTTCTGAACCAATTCTCAGCAGGTGGCCATAACAGTAGTTATGAGTAGCATGTACACATGCGACCACCCTTCCATGGATCTGTTTTCTCTCGCTTTAAGTTGCTCACCTGCTCCGCTGCCTGATGGTGGCATGGACTGCTGGGGGCTGGGAGCTCGTGCTGTGCCCTGTGCTGTCCTGTGTTGCATTGGTGACCTAGCAAGCCTCAGTTTTAGATGGAGCCAACCAAAGTTGGCAGTTGTGAGAATTTCTAGGCTTTCGGGAGCAGGACTGGTGGATTGGGGCCCTCCTTAAAGTGGTCTTGCATCCGTGTCTTTGCTGGTTTCTCTCCCTGCGTTAGAGTGAAGCCGTGACAGAGGCTGGGTTGGCCCCTGTACACCCTGTGGAAACAGTTGGCCTCATTCAAAGGTCACTCCTGGGAGAGCAGACATTTGAAAAGAGAAAGAAGAAAGAGAGAGTGAAAGGCAGCCCATAAGTGGTGGGCTGAGTCCACACTCTAAACACCAGATAGTTGAATGGGACCTTTGAGTATCTCTGCTGCTCCTGCCCCTGCCTCTTTCGCAAGAAGTATCCTGACTCTGTGGATTTTGGGGGACAACATCCATGGCTCCCTGTGGCACAACAAAGGGATTAGTTCAAAGCTGACTTAAGCTCCTTGTCCTTAAACCCATTAAAACAACCAGTTATCACGGGGAAGGCTCCTAACCCTGATGGCACTGATTTGAGACTCTTAGGAGGAAACCCTTTATAAATACCAGGGTAGAGAGGCACCCCCCTCCCAAAGTATATTCAGGGACAAAGAAAAGAGGGATACTCAAGGATGGAACTAATAGATAAAATACTGAAACAAAGGACCACAATTTAACCGAATTGGAAATCCAAAATGTACAAAAAGAATTTATACAACAAAAAGAATTTATACAACAGATAAGAATGCACTGCTCAGCTTTCAGCCTATAGAACATAAGTTCTGGATTAATTTTGCTATCTGATGTAATTCATTAACTCAGAAACCATTAAACAATTAGTCAATACTAGGTCTCAAATTATAGTTATACCTAGGATCCCACTACATTTAAGCACGGTACCCCTGATGGTCTCCCGGGTCACTGAATAGGATATAGGGGGCAAACAGCACAGCTGTTTCTTCTTGACCGTCAGAACTATGGTCCTGAAATTCTCCATGGTCACAGCACTGTCCTAAAATAACCCATAGTGATCTAGGAGGCTCTGAACCAATGATTCATAAATTAAAATTAAATAAGGCCCTTGCCACTTACAAATTGTCTTCACAAAATAAGACCTCTTGGACTGTACCCTCTAAGTAGAGTGGTTTATATGGCCCGATGTAAACTGCATAGGCCCTTGAAGGATTGAAGCCATATACAAAACCTGTTTAGTGAAGGGTTGATTATT